ATCTTCCATTGTTTCCCTAGGGGCATTAGCAGGGAGTTGGATCAGAAGTGGCGCAGTCAGGACTTGAATCGGCACTCATGTGGGATGCCAGCATCACAGGTGGCAGTTTAACCGGCTGTGCCACAATGCTGGCCCCCTGGACCACACTTTTAATGACACAAACTGCTATTTTATTTTCAAAATTTTTATTTATTTCTTAGTTTTCATTTTCATTTGAAGGGCAGAGAGAGATGAGAGACAGAGAGAGATCTCCCGTCTGCTGTGTCCACTCCCCAAATGCCCATAGGAGTCAGGGCTAGGCCAAACCAAAGCCAGGAGCTAGGAACTCACTCCAGGTCTATGTGGATGCAAGTGCCCTGCTGTTTCCCAGCGTGTGCGTTAGCGGGAACGGGCAGCAGAGCCCGTATGTGAACCCACACACTCCAATATGGGATGCAGGCGTCGCCAGCAGCATCTTCACGACTGCACCAACACTTGCTCCACAGTTGCTATTTTAGAACCACCCAGAGCGTCTCCCATCATGGAAGTGGGCTCTGTGTCTGTGCTGCTGACGCTGGAAGCTGGGGCGAGGGAGGGGAACCATGTTTTTGGATTCTGGGTAGACGCTCTTCCCGGGTTTGGGGAGACCCATCCTTTGTTCTGAACCAGGACCACTGATGTCCCATTGTGGAAGCCCTGGTCAGCGATGTCAATCAAATCACGATGCTTCAGTCTGAGATGTTAAAAAATACTGCTGTAATTTTACACATATTGTTATAAGTATGTATTTTGACTGGGTTTTCCCTGAAAACTACAAGAATTTGGGGGGAGGGGTATGTGAGTTGCAGGGGATTGTGGGTATGTGTGTGTTTTTGTTTAAGTATTGTCTTTTAGGGGTGGTGGGGGCAAATTTCTTACTGTTGGAGGAGGCACAGAGCCAGATAGAAAAATGGGGAGAGCTCCCATCTGTTGGTTCACTCCCAAATGCCTACAATGGCCAGGAGTGGGCCAGGCCAAAGCCAGGGGCTGGAAACAACCTGGGTGGCAGGAACCCAATCACTCGGGCTACCACCGGTGCCTCCCAGGGTCCACATTAGCAGGAAGCTGGAGTCAGGAGCCCGAGCTGGGGATCAAACCAAGACATTCCCATGTGGGACACAGGATATTTACCATAAGTCCCTGCTCAGGTAATTTCCTGTGGATCCTAAAACAAATGTCTCACCAGTTCTGTCTTCATGTTTACAGGAGGAAACAGCAAGAATGTGCAAAAACTCTGGACTTGGCTTCAGGCGGAGCCGCTGCCTTGAACTGTGGGAATCCCACAATGATGTGACTTAAGACTAATAATTCAGACTGAGAAAAACAGTCTCAGCTCTTATGATGCCTCACGTGGGCCACATAGCAGCACCTGACAACCTGTGGTGAGAGTGGGCTATCTCCTACCTTAAGCATTGTTCTGCAGGTGTGGAGGTGTGCAGGGTGGGGACCAGGGCTCTGCCAGAGGCTGCTACTCTGGGAAGCGTGATGCCCCCATGGCAGAGAGGCTATGGGATGAAGAGGTGGCTGGTTGGGGACTTCCTATAGGAAAACATGACTGAACTCTAAGAGCCGTTGACAGCTGATGCTGAATTTTGAGCTTTGGTTTTCTGCACCAATCCCTTTCAGTGTCGAGATTCCTGTAGTGTGTCGTGCCAGCCTGCACCTGTACTTTGGAGCTTACCCGATGCTTGAGAGGGACATGACTGCACAGTCACTGGCTGGCAAGGGATGGCAGCAGAGCGGCGAGTGCGATGGGTGTGGCACGCGTGGGCTCCTCGTGGAGTTGGGAAATACTAGGAGAGGAAATCCATGTGAGCAGGGGCTTCTGCGGTGAGCAAGGTGGGAAGGTCGCCACCCTCCTGCACCCGCTGTGAGACCAGAGGGTGGGGGCATCTCCTGCCCCACTTTTGTTGGGTTTCCAAGCAGCTGTGCTTCTGCGGGGGGTCTCACATCCAGTTTCAACATCTTCTGGCCATCACCCTCTGCCCTGAATCCCCAGAAATTACAGCTTCCATTTCTCACCCTCGTTTCCCTAACCATCTGCACACAGACCCAGGACCCAAGGAAGGGAATGACAGCAACGTGCGAATGACAGCAACGTGCGTCTCTCCCTTCCCCTCTACTTTATCCCACCTCTGGGACTCGAGCAAAATGCCTCCCCCTTCTCATGGTTACCAAGCCAGCGTTCTTGGGCGCCTGAGTGCATTCGCACAGAGACAGCCGTGCCCCGGCTCAGCCAGGGCGAACGGTGCAGGGGCGGCTGTCGCCCGCTCTCAGGTGGGGGTCTTTAGGGTAGCTGTCCTTGTACTCCTCCAAGGAGGGCACACCTTCCCAGCCGGGGCCTGTACCAGCAGCTTTAGGCATATCACAGGGCTCCACCCCACTCACCCGTCCCGTCACTACCCCTCCTCAGTCACTCCTCAGCCAAGTGTGTCTCCTGCGGTGCTGCCCTCCCCCACCCCAGCACTCGGGGACGTCAGTCCCGCCCTAGCATTTGCCACCCATCTTGGCCACTACCTTGGGTGCAAGCACCCACTCTTGTCCCCATTCTCCTCTGGGTTTCTCCCCAGGGATCTTGACTTTACTGTGTTTCTTTTGGGAGTGCTAACCCATCATAAAGGAATTCCATCATGTTCTGAACCATGAACACATTTATTCAGTCTGTCTACAATGTTTTCTTAAAGAGCCCATGGTGGATCAGGCTTTTTTTCTTTTTCTTTTATTTATCTGAAAGTCAAAGCAAGAGAGAGAAAGAATATCCCATCTTCTGGTTTCACTCCCCAAATGGCCACAATGTGGTTAGGCCAGGATGAAGCCAGGAGCCAGGAGTTTCCTCTGGGTCTCCCACATGGGTGGCAGATGCCCAAGCACGTGGGCCATCCTCTGTTGCTTTCCCAGGCACATTAGCAGGGAGCTGGATCAGAAGTAGAGCAGCTGGGATGGGAACGTTGGCGTCATAGGTGGTGGCTTAACCTGCTGCACCAGAACACTGGCCCCTAGGCATTGTTTTAGGTCTTGAGGATACACAAGATACCAGACATCTGATGGTGTTGACACTCTTGTAAAGACAAGTAAAGCAAGTGAGTAAACAAGATATTTTCAGAGAGTGACAAGTTCCTTGGCAACTGCATCATGTGATGAGCGGCACAGAAAAGGTGCCTCCTTCCGTGGTGAGGCTGGGGAAGCTCTCTGGTGAGAAGGTGATATTTGTTAAAGGCCTGAATGATGGGAAGAAGCCAGCAGGGGGTGGTTCCAGAGTGAAGAACAACTCTGTAAATTGGTGACACCAGAAACCTCCAACCTCTAACCTTGGATGTGCCCTTAGAACATTCCAGCAATCCACGCATGTGTCTGGCCAGGTCTCCTCACCTGCATTGCTCACTGGATATTCAAAAACTTTTCCTCTTTCTTCAGAATGTTGTCTTGTCCCTGTCTTCTTCTCACTGCACGTTTCAAACGCCTAGAACCTCTACATAGATTTTGAGTCAGTAATTCCATGTCTGGACTACATCAGAGAGATGTTCAAACTCCTAACTACAAAGAGTCACCTAGCGTTGTTTGTAATATTGAGAAACTGCAAAACCCTTATGCCTAATAATAGGGGACGTTAAATAAACTATGTAGATATTTAATGGAACATTATCTGCTACTATTGACAATGATGTTGAAAAATGATCACCTTTTCTCTTACATCAAGAGAAAATGAAAACTAACAGTTGAGAATGTCCTCATCTTCCACGCGTCCTAGACTGAGGTCAAAGCTGGTGGTACAAACATGAAAAAGGAGTCTCTGGAATTTTCAGTCTGGTGAGCTTTGAAGATTTGTTTGGACGTTGGAAATGAGATATTTTTCTCACAGCCAAAGTACACTACGTTAATATTTAGATGAGGGTTAGTGTGTAACTTGTTCAGCCAGATCAGTGGACAGTTTGAATTGCATGACTGAAGATGTCTTAAAGTCGAAGCAATGAAATTCAGCACAGATATTTAAAAAAGCTGTATAAAAATATGAACATGTAAGAGTACACTTGCAGCTTGAATTCTAGCTTAGTCTTCTGTATAAAAGTTTGCAACTACATCCTTTCTTTGGACCCATTTGTCTTTAAAAAAAATAAGCCAGGAAATCAAAGTGCAGTCTATTTTGTGGACACATGTGGAAACATGCTAGCACCACGCTGTGAAGGCAGTAGCACCAGAACTCAGCAATCACACAGAAGAAAAAATGAGAAGGCTTTACGGAGGTGACAGCCTTTGAGCTGGCACACGTCTGCCTCTGCTTGTGTATCCTTTCACGTTCCAGAAGGAATTCATATTGCTTCAAAAATAAAGGCAGGGCTTTTTCTTTCTTTTTAAGATTTATTTACTTACTTGAAAGGCAGAGTGACAGAGAGAGAAACAGGGAAAGAGGTCTTCCATACACTGGTGCACTCCCCAAATGGCCATAGTGGCTGGACCACGCCAAATCCAGGCCATCTTCCGCTGCTTTCCCAGGCGCACAAGCAGGCAGCTGGATTAGAAGCGGAGCAGACCGGTGCTCTAATATGGAATGCTGGTATCAAAGGCAGCGGCTTAACCCACTGCTCCACAATGCAGGTGCCACATCAGGCCTTCTTCTTTTCCTGTCACCAAGCAAAACTACAAGCCTGGACTTTATCCATAAACACCCAAGGTCTCTGAAAGACCCAAGAAACAGCAAGGAGCGAGTTCCCTGGAGAAGCTGGTGACATAGACGTGCCCACAGGAACAGAAAAGAAAATTCATGAAATACCCGTCTCTGCCCGAAGGATCAGGGAAGGAGTAGCCTGACAAGGAAGAAATGGCCACCTACTCCAGCCAGACATCACAGATAAGAGTGTGGCCCAACCCTCATGCCCACTGGTGAGGGCCGAATGAGCAGCCCAGACTGCTGCCCTTGCCAAGCTTGTGGTAATCACCCCAACTCTGGGTCATGTCAGAGGAAGCCCAGTGGAGAGTCAGGACCTTACTACTGCCATAGGTGATGAGGTGGCCCATCATGGTCTCCTTAGGGACCATGTGGAGAGCCCTGACAAGGCATCCCTCGCTCTCCCATCCAAGATTATGTCAGTGGAGGCCTGGCGGAGGGGGGCTGAATTCCCACCCATCCTCAGCAGTAACAATAGGCATCCCAGGTGTCCAGACTGAATGGGAGGCGGGCGCCGTTGCTCACTAGGCTAATCCTCCACCTTGTGGCGCCAGCACACTGGGTTCTAGTCCCGGTCGGGACGCCAGATTCTGTCCCGGTTGCCCCTCTTCCAGGCCAGCTCTCTGCTGTGGCCCGGGAGTGCAGTGGAGGATGGCCCAAGTGTTTGGGCCCTGCACCCACATGGGAGACCAGGATAAGCACCTGGCTCCTGCCATCGGATCAGCGCGGTGCACCGGCCGCAGCGCGCCAGCCGCAGCGGCCACTGGAGGGTGAACCAATGGCAAAAAGGAAGACCTTTCTCTCTGTCTCTCTCTCTCTCACTATCCACTCTGCCTGTCAAAAAAAAAAAAAAAAAAAAAGACTGAATGGGAAAACTGGACATCAGTGTTCACCTGGCAGTCATGAGGTGGCACACCTGTTAACCACCAGGGTGGTACCAAGGAGCTCTGCTAAATGGAAGATTTACATAAGACACAGGGTTGTAACATCATGCTCAAAATGTCTCGGTTTCCATAGAAAAGGACTCTTCAAGAACCAGGAAAATCTCAACTTGAGTGAGAAAAGATAATCAAGATATGCTAGCATCCACATGACACGGATGTTAGAACCATCTGGCAAGGATTTTAAAACAGCCATCCTAGAAAGACCACAATTTGCTTGAACTAAATGAGAAACTCGAAGGTCTGAGCAAAAAAATAAAAAATAAAAAAGTATAAAGAAGAACTAAATGGAAATTTTAGAACTCAAAAATACAATAACCAAATGAAAAACTCCATGGATGGCCCCAAACAGCAGAATAGAGGGACAGAGGGAAGAATCAATGACCTGGAAGGTAGAACAATACAAATGACCCAATCCAAACAATACAGAGAAAACAGGCTAACCCACAACAAAAAAGAACCTCAGAGACCTGAGAGAAAATAGCGTAAGATTTGTGGGGGCTGGCATTGTGGCAAAAAGGGTCAAGACTCTGCCTGCAACACCAGTATCCAATATGGGCACATGTTCAATTCCCGGCTGCTCTACTCCCTATCCAGCTCCCTGCTAATGCTCCTGGGAAAGCAGCAAAAGATGGCCCAAGTGCTTGGGACCCTGCATCCACGTGAGACACCTGGATGAAGCTCTTGGCTCCTGGCTTTGGCCTGGCATAGCCCTAGCCATTGTGGCTATTTGAGGAATGGACCAGTAGATGGAAAACTCTCTCTCTCTCTCTCTAACTCTGCCTTTCAAATAATTAAGATAAATATTAAAGAAAAAAAGACCTGTATCAGTAAGTTCCCAGAAGAGGAGACTAGAAAAGTAAAAAGAAATAATGGTTGAAATCTCCCCAGATTTGGCAAAGACATAAACCTACTAATGCAGAAGTCTGAGATAACCTCAAACAGGATAAACCCAAATCCACACCAAGACACATTACATTCAAACTCCTGAAAGCAAACACAAAGGAAACAGCTTTTAAAGCAATGAGAGAGAGAACCCTTTCACTGTAAGAGAGAAACAGTTGGAGTAGCAGATTTCTCATCAGGAACCATGCAGACCAGAAGGAAGTGGCACAACACTTTTCAAGGACTGAAAGAAAAAAATTGTCAACCCAGAATTCTACATCCAGTGAAAATATCTTTCCAGAATGGAATATCAAGCCATCCCCTATGAAAGCAAAGTAGGAGAATCTGTCACTACCATATTTGCTTTAAAAGACTGGCTAAGGATTTTCTCCAATTAGAAAGCACTTGATAAAAGAAAAAAAAATCTGTAACATCAGAAAAGAAAAGAAAACAACAGAAAAAGTAAAGATATGGGTAAATACAAGTCTTTCCTTCTCTTCTGGAATATTCTAAATTCTGTTTGATAATTGAAGCCAAACTTACAACAATGTCTGATATGGTTCCAACATATTCAGAGGGAAATGCTTACAACAATTTTCCTGGGGTTGGTGCTGTGGTGCAGCCAGTGAGCCTTGGTTTGTGATGCCAGCACCCTATATTAGAGTGCAGATTCGAGTCCTGGCTGCTCTGCTTTCGATCCAGCTCCCTGGTAATGTATCTGGGAAGGCAGAGAACATGGCCCAAGTACGTGAGCCCCTGCCACCCAAGACCTGGATGGAGATACAAACTCCTGGTTTTGGCCTGGACTACTCCTGGCTGTTGCAGCCATTTGGGGAGTGAACCAGTGAATGAAAAAATCTTTGTCCCTGCCATACCTGTCTCTCTACCTTTCAAATAAATAAATAAATCTTTTTTAAAAATCAATAATCCTACAAAGGGAAATGTTAAAGGGGTATATTGGGAGGTAAGGTTTGTATACTTCACTCAAAGTGGTGAAATGTCAACAGGAATAGACTGTGGTAAGTTATATATTATAAGGGGGGCAGTACAAGAAAGGTATAGGGCCGGCGCCGTGGCTCACTTGGCTAATCCTCCGCCTGCGGGTTCTAGTCCCAGTTAGGGCGCCAGGTACTAGTCCTGGTTGCTCCTCTTCCAGGCCAGCTCTCTGCTGTGGCCCGGGAGGGCAGTGGAGGATGGCCCAAGTGCTTGGGCCCTGCACCCCATGGGAGACCAGGAAGAAGCACCTGGCTCCTGGCTTCGGATCAGCGCAGTGCCGGCCGTTGTGGTCATTTGGGGGGTGAACCAACAGAAGGAAGACCTTTCTCTCTGTCTCTCTCTCTCACTGTCTGTAACTCTACCTGTCAAATAAAAAAAAAAAAAAAAAGAGAGAGAGAGAGAGGTATAATACTCTACAACAGAACAGGAATGGATGGCAATAGATGTTCTTAAAAGTGAGGTTGTACCTGAATGAAAACTCTTTTTTGGTTGCTAGTAAAGAGAAACTTAAATCCAACCAATTAAAGCAAATAGGCATTTATTAATTTACGTAACTTCATTGCTTAGATTTGCTTCCGTCAACTGGTCTCAGTTTATCCTACAGTAGCCAACCCACCTCCAAAGGACATGATTAGAGAAACAATCTTAGAGCTCAAGATTCAAGAAAAAGGGGAGATGTTCTCTCTCTTAGTGTATCAATGTGACACCCCAGAGAAGCGCTGAGTTGCCTGGCTTGGTTACATGCCCACCTCTGTACCAATCACCGTGGTCTGCAGGTGGAGCACTGGGACCGGCAGCTCTCTCCTCTCTCTCTCTCTCTCTCTCTCTCTGTGTGTGGTCCAGCTGGGAAGGCAAAGCTGTTCACAGAAGGAAAGGACGATGAGCAGCAAATAGATGAAATGCCTACCATGGCACCTTCAGGGATTACAGAGAGAATAATGATGGTGCTTCTTTTAAGTGACTCACATGTATTTGTCTTATGACTGGCTCGTTCCACTTAGCGTAATGTCCTCGAGCTTCACCATGCAGCAGCAGGCTGCACAGTGTCCTCTTTAAGGCTGGATAATTTCCATTGTCTGCCTAGTCCACATTTTGCTTATCCATTCATCCATGGATTGCCTCCTGGTTGCTCCGATGTTGAGCTGTTGCAGATAATGCTCCTGTGAACATGAATGTACAGAATGTTAGGATTTAAGGAGTGAAAGACTGCAAAGCAGTATCATATATGAGATAGGAGTGTAAATATCAGAAATGAGAGGAGGGGCTGGTGTTGTGGTGCAGCAGGCTAAGCAGCCGCCTGCAGTGCTGACATCTTATATGGACATCAGTTCAAGTCCCAGAAGCTCCACTTCTGATCCAGCTCCCTACTAATGCATCTGGGAATGCAGCAGAGGATGGCCTAAGTGTTTGGACCCCGGTGCTCATGTGGGAAGCCCAGATGAAGTTCCTGGCTCTTGGTTTCAGCCTGGCCCAGCCCTGGCTGTTGAGGCCTTTTGGCAGGTGGAAGATCTCTCTCTAATTCTGACTTCTGAATAAATAAATAAATCTTTAAAAGAAGAAGAAGAAGAGCATGGTGACAATTATAGGAAAGTGGAGCAATCTTCAGAGGACACAAAGCTGAATGAGAGAGCCAACACAGGACTCAGACAGGTAAATGCCAGAGTGCCCATAGCAAAAGGAACAAATGGGCTGGAAGGGCGTGGTGTGATGCAATCCTTCTGCCACTGAAGGGAACATTGCAAAAGCTGTCTGGTGTGAATCCAAGTTGAATTTTTGCTTCTCCCACAGCAACCTGCAGCAGACAGAGAACATATTCCTGGACTTCAGATTCCCACAGTCCTCTGAGAGGAGAGGCAGAGACAGAGAGATAGCTCTGTTTCACTGGCTCATTCCAAAAAATGCCTGCAACAGCTGCAACTGGGCAGAGCCAAATCCAGGAGCAAGGAACTCAATCCAAGACTTCAGGTGGGCAGCAGGGACCCAGGTTCTCGAGCCGTCATCCTGACACCGGCAGGAAGGTGGAGTCGGGAGTAGGAGGTGGACACTGAACAATGTTCTTTCATGTTGGATGCAGGTGCCTTAGCCAGGGTCTGAAGCCCTAGGCCAAAAGCCTGCCCGCATCAACACCTGTGTTAGCTGTTCGCCATGCGTCCTCAGAACTGCCCGTTGTGCACAGCTTTGTTGTTGGCAGGTAGTTAGGAAGCACCTCACCTATAACAAATAATAACGGGCTGGTGCTGCGGTGCAGCAGATTAATCCGCCCATGACTCGGGACTCCCATACGGGAGCTCTCGTTCAAGCCCCAGCTGCTTCACTTCCCATCCAGCTCTCTGCATTTGTGCCTGGGAAAGCAGCAGAGGACGGTCCAAGTACTTGGGCCCCTGCCACCACCCATGTGGAAGACCCACATGGAGTTCCAGGCTCCTGGCCTCTGCCTGGCCCGGCTCCCACTGTTGTGGCCATTTGTGGAGTGAACCAGCAGATGGAACATCTGTCTCTCCTCCTTCTCTCTCTCTCTCTATAAGTCTGCCTTTCAAATAAATACATAGCCATCAGTATCAAGGACTTCCTCTTCTTTTTTTCTTTCCCTGAGACCATGTGTTTACAAACACAATCCTAAATAAGAACTGTCTGCACCATTCGTGCCTAAAGGGCACTGTGCTATGACCTTTCCTGTCGTCACATAACCCCAACAACCCCGACACACTGTTGACACTATGGTTGCACTTACAGAGCGGGACACTGGGTTGCAATCAGTCCACAAGCCTGGGTGCGACAGCAGACGCTGCAGGCCTTCGCTTCTTCCCTGGAACAAGGATTCCAGCTACTGCCCCCAAATACAAGGGAATCAACTTTCTTGCCTGTGCACAGTTGGCACTTTCTCGGGGCAGGTGGCTCAGCTAAGGAGACTTGGCATTACGTAATGGTATTTTCATACCAAACATAAGCTGAAGTTCCAGTGACTTGCTGTTGGTTGTCAAAACAGAGATTAACAGTCTGAGTCACAGAGGAATTTATCTCAGATTTGGCTTCTGCAACCACTGCTAAGTAATTTCAAAAGTGGGCCATGGGTGTGGGAACAGCTTGAGTGATGTCACGATTGGGCAACACGATCCCATCCTGGGAGGTGGAGACCTGGATCCAGACGTAGAGCATGCCTTCCCCCCAACCCCGGCCCTACTTCACGGTGCAGGCTCAGTGAGCTGCTCCCCACTTTGTGGACTTTATCTCCAACCCGGGCAGCTGCTTATGCACTCTCGACTTTCAGGCTGAGCTGCCAACTTTCCATGCCGGGCTCCAGAATGAAGACAAAGAAGCGTCCTACAGAGTCATGCCACAGCTTTCATTGTCTTCCTCCCTTTGGGCATCAGTGGAAACCTGATTCGCTTGTCTCCAAGAAAACACAGGGGCGGGCTGCATCAGAGGAGCTGGACGGGACCTGTCCCCTGGGCTCCCATGCTGGGGTGACCACCTGACAGGATGGAGAAAGGGGGCTTTGCAGGAAGCCTGGAAATACAGCCGCAGAACCACTGGATGGAACATCTCTGACAAACCGAGGAACGCCGTCAAACAGACCACGTCGTAAGGCATGGGAGGCCAACCACTCAGTCCTATGACGTCCAGTCTCTCCTGTGGGATACTGTGCAACTTAACAGGACTAAATGCAACCATGTTAAGAGTTAAAAAGCTTGAAAACCTAAATACTGGGGCCGGCGTTGTGGTGTAGTGGGTAAAGCTACCACCTGTGATGCTGGCATCCCATAAATGCACCTGGGAAACTAGCGGAAGATGGCTCCAGACCATTTGGGGAGTGAACCAGCAGGTGGAAGCTTCCTTTTTCTTTCTAACTCTGACTTTCACTTAAATAAAATAAATTTCAGTTTAAAAAATCCCAGAAAGCTAAATACCAACATCTTTGTTCCCAGAGTTACTTTCTCACTGCTGATCAAACTCTAAAATGCACGGGATTAAAGGGATTCCTAATTCTTGGGCTTTTGGTGAGGATTAAATGAGAGGAAGGGCAACAGAAAGTGTAATGAGGTGCATAACCGAAGACCTGGGTCTAAAGTCCATTCTACTGTGTACTGGCGGGAACCTGGAGGAAGCTCTCTAACCTCCCAGCACTTCCATTCCCCCATCCAAAACGGAGGTGGAAATGAGAAGTAGTGGTGTCCCCTCCTAGGGTTGTCATGACTGTCGAGGGAGTTACTGTGTGAAAACCAACAGAACCAATCATGGCATGGGAGGTCCTTTCTAAGTGTTCTCCCATGATTGTACTAAGCCTCCAACAAATGGTTGCTATGGAGGTATTACTGGAGCTGTCCCTTCTGTGTAAATCTGAGTGCAATCTTTCCTTCTTTAACCCTGCGTGCTAACATTTCAGATGGGTGGCCACAGATGGCCCTGGAGGGACATGGTCATATGGCTGGCACACAGCATTGACACAGGGCTATGAGGTCTGAGTTCAGGAGGAAAAGACACAGCACATCTACCCAGCACCTACCAAGTGCCAGGTATTTCATACACATAGACATGGTCAATCCTCACGGGCTCCAAGTGGGAACAAATGTGCTGAGAAATAGGAATTTATTCCAATTACAAAACAGTAGCCACAGCAGAATCCAAAGACGGATCTGTCTGATTTCAGAAGCCCACGTCTCCCTCCCAACCCCAGACCTTGGGAAGCACCAGACTGAGCACACATTTCCCACCTGCGCCGTGACACTAAGAGATACTGGCCTTCAACAGGGGGCCAGGCCTCCCATTCCACACGGGAGTGTGGGTGGAAGGGCACAGACACCCCAGCTGACATCAATCCCCACTGAAGTGCAGGTGTCTGACGTAAGATCCTTTTCTGATATCAGATTTGGTTGTGTCAGGAACAAAAGGGCACTGGTCCCGGAGAGGGGTGGCTGATCCAATTTAGTTCACGACTCACTACTTTCCTGGTGAGTGTGACTTGCCCCAGAAAATTCTAGTTTTTAATGTGTGCTTCTTGTAGGGTTGCCAGATTGAAAAAAAAAAAAGGCAACTACACCAAAAAAAAAAAAACAACAACAACAACAATATTTTTTAGTACATGTCTTGTGCAGTATTTGGGACATACTGAAATACTGTCTTTAAAATTGAAATTCAAGTTTAACTGAGAATATTGTCTTTTAACTGGCAACACCAGTTCCTCGACCAGAATACTTCCCACAGGTCTCACGTGGACAGAAGGGATAATGGTGCCATCACGAGGCATCCTGCCATCAGAGGACCAGGCCCCACGCCTGCCTGATTTTGCAACAAATGCACTTGGAACTGCATTCAGCAATGTCTGGATGGGGCCTCACAGCCACACTTGCCACAGGGGACCGAATGGACCAAATTTACTAGGGGGAGTTTGGCAGGTCTGAGAGCAGTCGGGATGGGATGGATTTTCACATTACGCTCTGAACCTGTGAATTTATTTTCTGTTGTTGCTAATTTACTGCTATTACTTACACAAATAGAGTGACTGAAGACAACACCAACTAATTACCCAGAGTTTCTCTCGGACCTATGTCCAGGGGGACTGCCCAGGACCCCAGGCTGAAGTCCACGGGATAGGCAGCAGGGCCTGAGGGGGAATTCACTTCCAGCCTCATTCCAGTTGTTGGCAGAATCGACTTACTTCTCCTGTCCTTGCATGACTGGTGTCCCTGTGTCTTAAGGGGTTGTTGGCCAAGGGTCACTCGCAGCTTCTAGAGGCCACGGCTCATTGGTTCATGGTCCTGTCCCAGTGAAAACGCAGCAAATCCTTCTTGTGATTCAAACTTGTCGCTCCCCCTCTTCGTGGAGGAACGACACAGGACCCTGCGCTGTTCTTTCGTCTGCTCGGCCCTCCCCAGGTTTGCTGCTGGTTCTTCCCGGGTTGGCTACCGTCCCTTCAACCTCCGTGGAAGGGCGGTTCCCCCTGCCACATTCCCCACTTCCGCGGGGGAGCGGCACACCGCCGGCCGGCTCTCTCGGGGGCTGCACAGGTATTCCTTCAGATAGATGTTCCCTCAGATGTTCCTGGTGCATGTTGTCTCTCTCCTCCTTTATAGTCCTCTTCCGCCAATCCCAACTCGCCTGCCCACACGCCGAGTACGCTGCTCTCCTCCAATCAGGAGCAGGATCTGCTCCTGGAGGTCATCACTCAAGTTGGCAAGAGGCAGCTGCGTAGAAGCTGTTTTCTCCTCTCCCAGCGCCATATTATGGGAGAGCAGATGCATAGAATAAGTCTTAATTCCAGTAACTCAGTCCAGTCCGAGTTGCTCCCCACAAAACTTTTCTGACTTTTACCTTCTTCTTGAGCTAAAAGCTCAAAGGTTACATTGGGCCCATCCAGATAATCCAAGATAATCTGATTAGGGGCTAGCATTTTAGTGCAGCAGGTTAAGCTGCCACCTGCAACACTGGCATCCCACATGAGTGCCAGATTTGAGTCCCAGCTGCTCCATTTCTGGTCCAGCTCCTTGCTAATGCACCTGGGAAAACAGCAGAAGAGGGCCAAGTACTTAGGCTCCTGCTACCCACGTTGGAAACTCAAACAGAATTCCTGGCTCTTGGCTTCTGCTTTGCCCGGCTCCAGCTGTTGAAGCCATTTGGGGAGTGAGCCAAGCAGATGGAAGATTATCTCTCTCTTCTCTCTCTCTCTCTCTACCTTCCAAATAAATAAAATACATCTTTTAAAAAAATCAACTGATTAGTAACTGTAATTACATCTGCCAAGTCCCTTTGACTGTGTAACGTAGTATATTCACAGGTAATACTCATGGGGTCGACAGTCTGCTGACCTGGCTATGACCACTCGTTCTGGCCATCAGAGCAGGGGCAACCAACCAAAACAAAAGAGCAGCTGCTTGTGACGTCAGAGACGAGAACCGTGCAAGCTTCCAACCTCTGATCCGGTGCAAAATAGGAAGGAGCAGTAATAAAACAACAACAAAAACAAGCAAACAAGCAACTGTTCTGATTCCAACTCTGCGCCCACTAAGCCAAGTCAGCTCTGCTCCTGTGCCAGTCAGATGTCACCGACTGGAGGAGGAGGCTGGCTCCTGGCCCAACCCTATGAGAGGCTTTTCCCGGTTCTCCTACGGACACTGCAGAGGCTTTACCTGGCAGGCGCAGGGCAAGGCTTGGTGCTCCGAGCCCAGGTCCAAGGGGAGCTGCCCTGAGGGTGCAGGCCCTGCTGCCTTTCTTCTCTCACACCCACCGAGTGCCTGTGTTCCCAGCCCAGGGGCCTCCCTCATGGGGGCAGAGAAGGGACAACTCGAAGGCATTTTTGTCTACCTTGACTTAGTATCCAGTACTTTCCCCCTCCTAATGCCTCCCTTTCACTTCCCATCCCCCACCTCTGACCCCTGACCCCCAGAGAGGGGCACAGACCTGCAGAAGCCTTTAGCTTGGGGCTCCCTCAGCAGTGAGATAACTCCTGCCGGGCACTGCACCTGCGCAGACACAGCTGACCTGGCTCAGTGCCCTTCTGTGGGGGAAATGGACCAGAGGGGCACGCAGTGGGGTGGATGCTGGGGCTTGCTCCCATGCAGCCTCCTGCTTATCCTGCCTGTTTCTTCCCTGCTGGCTATTGTCCTAACCGGTTACTCCCACACCGGGCTTTTCCTCTCACTCCAGGAGCTGAGCTGGTCTGAGGAAGACACTGTCAACCTAGTTGCCTGTAACTTGCCATGTGTTACAGTCACTCACAATTCGCCAGCATCCACTAGGAGTTGGGCGTTTGCTGCAGCCAGGGATACAAGGATGAGTAAGACAGTCCCAGGAAGCTTGGATCCCATTAGAGGCCTGTGTCCCATTCACTAGGAGATGATGTAATTCATTCTCTCATCAAGCATTTATTGAGATCTCACATTATGCAACCAGTCATTCTCTGATATAAACTGGTAAGTAAACCAAGGCTCAAAGTTAAACAAATATTTCAAGTAAATATTTTAGCCTTCTTCTCTTTTGCCCAAAATGGTAACTGATAGATCAGGATTCTAACTCAGGAGTTCTAATTTTTTACTTAAAATTTTTTTAAGATTTATTTATTTGAAAGGCAGAGTTACAGAAATAGAGGAGAGAGACAGAGAATGGTATCTTCCATCCACTGGTTCACTCCCCAAATGGCCACAACAGCCAGGGCTGTGCCAGGCCAAGTCAGGAGCCAGCAGCTTCTTCTGGGTCTCCCAGATGGGTGGCAGGGTCCCAAATACTTGGGCCATCATCCATTGCTTTCCCAGCTGCTTTGGCAGATAGCTGGACAGAAAGCAGAGTAGCTGGGACTCAAACCCGTGCTCCCATATGGCATGTGGGCATCCTGAGTGGTGGCTTAACTGGCTGAGCCTGGGGCCAGTGTTGTGGCTCAGTAGGCTAAGCTGCCACTTGGACACCAGCTGGTGACTGAGTTCCTAGCTCTGGCCCCAGCCCCAGGCAAAGTGGATATTTGGGGAGTGAACCAGTGGATGGGGCATCTCTCTTTCTCCTGCATAATAATGATTTTTTTATAAATTTTTAAGGGACCATGGTGCAAATGGCTCCAGGAGGGCTCATGGTAAGTCAGTGCACACATAAAAAAAAAAGTAAAGAAAAGAAATATGGCTCACTAAACACAACGGCTCTCAAAATCACTGTCTCTTTAACAAGACCATTTAAGGACCAGAGTCACACGTGGACATAAAGGAATCCATTGATTCCACCTCCCTGTCTGGGTTGGACGGGAAAGCTGGCCGTGGGCGTTTGCAGAACGCTGGCTAACAATGAAGGGCACAGCCCAGCTCCCAGCCGGAAGGACGGCAAAGCCTGACATCACTGCCCCTCCCTGCCTCGTTTCCCCTCAGTGGCCAGGAGCGACAAGGTGTCGGCAAACAGGGCAGAGAAGTGCTCCTGTCTGGCGCTCCGAGCTGAGCCCTGACAGACAGGAATGCCACGAGGCCTGCCTCGCGTGTGCCCTTCCCAGAGTAGCCTCTTGACTTTGCTGCGTGGGTTCCACCCTCGCTTCCCAGCCGTTCTTTTCCAGAGTCCTCGTGGAAAATCCAGCAGTCCATACAGAACCCAGGAGCTCTGCCCCCTGGTTTTGCAACTGTCCCATGAAAAATGCTGCAGCCACAGGGTGAACACAGTTGTAGTGGCTGAGCTCAGCATCAGAAGGACTTAGATTAGCTGGCCCGCGTGACTTATAACACCCTTCTCCCCTTAGGTCTCTGTTCTTCCTAGATGGAAAGCTTGAGAGAGACTGAATTTTATCCTGCCAGGTGGGGCAGTAGCCAATCATAACCCCACTTAGTTTCAGCCTTCCCAGTTACCAAATAGACAAGCAGTTATTATTTATAAAGAAACATGTATTTATTATCTAAAACTTTTTTAAAAAAAGATTTATTTATTTGAAAGGCAGAGTTACAGAGAGAGGGAGAAAGTGGGTAGGGGAGGGGGGGAGAAAAATCTTCCATCCACTGGCTCACTCCCCCAAATGGCTACAATGGCCAGGGCTGAGCAACGCCAAAGCCAGGATCCAGGAACTCCACCTGGGTCTCCCATGTGGATGGCAGAGACACAAGCACTTGGGCCACTTTCCACTGCTTTTCCAGGCACATTAGTAGCTGGATCGGAACTGGAGCATCCAGGACTTGAACTGGGGCTTATATGGGATGCCAGCATCACAGGCCACAGCTTAACCCACTGTACCACCACGCCGGCTTCTGTTATCCTAAACTTTAAGCTTATTGGAGAAGGAGGCTAGAGAGCCACAAAGTCTCATGAAGCTCTTTTTAGCTACTGAGTGATAATCATTGTCATTGGAGCCTACAATTATGTGCATTTCTTCTCCTGAAAAACATCTATTGAGCACCTACTGCATGCAGAGCTCTCTGCTGGACACCCGTCAGGGCACAGAGCACAGTCGCTCCCCTTCCGGGTTTTAGCATCTGTGACTTGAAACAAGCCAGGTAGATAGAGGACCTGTGGGCGTGGCGTGTTGGTTCTGAGTCATGTGTTGCAAGTAGCATCGCTGCATTTCCAATGAAGGGGCCAGGCTGACGCTCTGCACGGCTGGCTCCGCTCCCATGCCTCTTCAGCCATGTGAGAGGCAAAGCCCGGGCCTCCGTGAGGGGTGCTGCACACGTGGGTAGCTTGGTGTCTGCCAAAGGCCAACAGAGTGAATATAAGGCCTGTTAGCGAGCACTGTGGGGCTTTAAGTGCAGTCATTTTTAATTCATGGGAGGCAGAGCAGACACTAAAGTAGCTGGATCCTCGAGCCCAGCACTGGGAGCAGCAGCATTCCGTGCAGGCCCGGCAGCCACGCCTCAGTGGGGGCGGGGAAAGTGATGACTCACCTGGGCCACTGGGGCAGGCCAGCAAACAGCTGACTCCTGCTGCGCTGGGCAGGGCCTGCACACCTCTGGCCGACAGGTTGCATTAGGATTTTGGCTTGAGTTTAAGTGGCATCTCTTTCAATCATTTTCTTGGGTGCATTCTGAGCATGGGAGCTGAGCAGTGGGATGAGCTGAAGGGAACGAAACAGGAGAGAACTGAGGCCCTGGGCCAGGCCGTCCCCTTGAAGCAGACCAGCCTATGGAGCCATGGAGCCAGCAATCCTTCCACACTGTGAACCGTGACTGTGCTCTGGAGCTCACAGCACCTGGGGAGAGATCCCCGAAGCTGTAGCTTTCCAGGAACTGCCCGCAGCCTGGACAGATAGATCCCTGTGCACGGCCTCTCCATGGAGTCAGAGATCATATTTCTTTTCATTTTACTTGAAAGGCAGAGAGACAGAGACAAAAAGAACAAAGATCTCCTATCTCCTGGTTCACCCCCAAATTCTTGCAACAGCCAGGGCAGGGCCAGGCCAAAGTCAGGAGCCTGGAACTCAAGCTGGTCTCCCACATGAGTGGCAGGGATCCAAATACCTGAGCCATCGCGTGCTGTCTCCCAGGGTGCCCATCAGCAGGAAGCTGGAATCAGAAATGCAGCTGAGAGTCAAAACTGGTGCTCCGATACGGGATGTGGGCATCGTGAGTGGCATCTTGACTGCTGTGTCAAATGCCAGCCCCAAACCAGAGCTTCTTAACTGTGAATGGTACCCTGGCCATCTGGTATCTTCATACAAAGCAGTTGTCTTGGTAGATATCTGGGGAGTGAACTAACAGATGGGAGCTCTCTGAATTGAGTCATTCTTATCTAGCACTCATTCTTTTCAACACACACATGGGTATGGGGGCATGTACTGTATAATCTCTCAGTATATCTCATATCTATATTCATTTATTCTCTGCTTCTCAACCAAATACAATTTTTATTTATTTGAAAGGCTAACTTACAGAGAGAGAGGAGCGGAAGCAAGAGAGAGATCTTCCATCTGCTGGTTCACTCCGCAAATGGCCACAATGCTCAGGGCTGGGCCAGGCTGAAGCCAGGAACCAGGAGCTTCTTCAGGGTCTCCCATGTGGGTGCAGGGTCCCAAGTACTTGGACCATCTTCTGCTGCTTTGCCAGGTTCATCATCAGGGAGCTGGATCAGAAGTGGAGTGGCCGGGACTGGAACCAGCACCCATATGGGATGCTGGTGTCAAAGGCAGCGGCTTAACCTTCTATGCCATAACGCCAGTCCCAATCATTTTAAAAAAAAATGCTTAATTTTCTTAAAAGGTTGAAGAAGGTAATATGGAAATGAGATATACTGAGAGATTATACAGTACATGCCCCCATACCCATGTGTGTGTTGAAAAGAATGAGTGCTAAATAAGAATGACTCAATTTGTATTCAAGGACAAAAACTGAGTTTTCTGCTATAGGGAGTTGTAAGAAGGAAACCCTTACAATCAACATTCACAGAGAGATTAAAAGTGTGAGTAAACGGGAAACGCCTTCATCCATAGACTACAAAACATACACACCTTGGGCATTGAAGAGTCCCAGTTAGCTCTCAGGTGAGAAAAAGTGCTGGTGGCCCAAGTGCCGAAGGAGCGTTTTTCTCTTTTCTTATGGTTGCCTCCCTCTTCTTCCTTCGTTTCCCTTCTAGTTGTCTCCACTTTCTAGCTCTTAGAAATTATTTTCTTTATTCTGTTTTTCTTTCCCCTGGAAAGATGTGTTCCCTCAGCTGGTGGTGCGAGATGACACAGGAACAGAAAGAACACAGTCGAGATTGCTTCTCACTGCGACTTAGGATGCGGCCGGGAGACAGTCCCGCGTTTGTGCAGCGGTGAAGTGGTGAGCAGAGAAGGACTGTGGTGCTGGACAAGCATTCCCCAATCTCAGAGAAAAGCTAGCATGCTTTACTGTAAGAAAGGGGAGGGGCTGGCGCTGTGGCCTGGCAGGTTAAGCTGCTGCCTGCGGTGCCAGCATCCCCTAGGGGTGCTGGTTCGAGTCCCGGCTGCTCCACTGCCGGTCCAACTCCCTGCTAATGTGCCTAGGAAATCAGCAGAAGACGGCCCAAGTGCTTGGGCCCCTGCACCCACATGGGAGACCCAGATGAAGCTCCTGGTTCCTGGCTTCGGCTTGACCCAGCCCCAGCTGGCTGATATGGCATTTGGGAAGTGAACCAGCAGATGGAAAATTTGTCTCTCCCTCCTTTTTTTTTTTTTTTTAAGATTTATTTATTTATTTGAAAGGCAGAGTTACAGAGAGGCAGTGGCGGTGGGGGAAGGAGAAGAGGAGGAAGGAAGAGGAGGAAGAGAGGGAGGACGAGGAGAGGGAGGGGGAGGAGAGGGAGGAGGAGGAGAGGGAGGGGGAGGAGAGGGAAGAGGGGGAGGAGGAGGAGGGAGGAGGGGAAGGAAAGGGAGGGGGAGGAGGAGAAAGAGGAGGAGGAGCGGGAGGAGGAGGAGGGGGAGGAGGAGGAGGAGAATCTTTAGGGTTTCTGATCCAGGACTGATGGCTGGGAAGTAACTATAGAAAACCAGCCAAATACGGGCAGTGGAAGGCAGAGGCTGGTCTGGTAACAGCTGATTTTTGCAGCGATAACTCAGTCCAAGGCAGTGGGGACAGACAGGTCGGCAAGGCTGACAGCTTCTGGAGAACACATGTTGGCTTGTGTACCTATTGGGACAGACAGGCTAGCTCTGGCTCATCAGTGGACTTGCACCTACAAATCCCAGCACCATATGGATGAGAAGAAACACGGAGACCTGAGTCAGGCAGAGCTGTGCCATGGTTCTCAACCACCCACTTCCATCTCCTTTGACGCGGCAAGTCCTTTTGGTTTTATCTGCTGCTGGGTCACACAGTAATCCTGCTTTGACCACCGACCTTGGGGACAAGATTGGATCCAATACTACGGTGGTGTCATATAGCACTTTTTGGAGTTGTGTCTTCGCAGTGTGAGTTCTAGTCTTAAGAAAGCGTATTCACAGAAGCATGTTGTCAGGGGAGCAAAGATGGCGGGAAATAAAAGCAGATACAGGGGCCGGTGCTCTGGCACAGTGGGTTAACACCCTGGCCTAAAGTGCCGGCATCCCATATGTGTGCTGGTTCGAGACCCAACTGCTCCTCTTCCGATCCAGCTCTCTGCTATGTCCTGGGAAAGAAGTAGAGGATGGCCCAAGTCCTTGGGCCCCTGCACCCACAAGGGAGACCCGGAGGAAGCTCCTGGCTCCTGGCTTCGGATCGGCGCAGCTCCGGCCATTGCAGCCAATTGGGGAGTGAACCATCGGATGGAAGACCTCTCTCTCTCTTTATCTTTCTATCTCTCTCTCTGCCTCTCTCTCTGTGTTAACTCTGGGACTATGGGTCACTAGGACTATTGGTCACAGCCCAAGGCAGGGAATGATCATTGTCATTAGGCATTGAGTGATCATTGCCATTCCCTCCCAGTTTAAGGTTTGTGCAAGGGATCAAAGAGGAGAGAAAAAGAAAAAAAAAAATTGTCACAGTTTAAATTTAATCATTGACCAATGAAAGACAACAGCGGTACTGGATTTTTTTTTTTTTTTTTTTTTGACAGGCAGAGTGGACAGTGAGAGAGAGAGACAGAGAGAGAAAGGTCTTCCTTTTGCCGTTGGTTCACCCTCCAATGGCCGCCGCTGCAGCCGGCGCACCGCGCTGATCCTGGCAGGAGCCAGGAGCCAGGTGCTTTTCCTGGTCTCCCATGGGGTGCAGGGCCCAAGCACCTGGGCCATCCTCCACTGCACTCCCTGGCCATAGCAGAGAGCTGGCCTGGAAGAGGGGCAACCGGGACAGAATCCGGCGCCCCAACCGGGACTAGAACCCGGTTTGCCGGCGCCGCAAGGTGGAGGATTAGCCTATTGAGCCACGGCGCCGGCAACGGTACTGGATTTATCAGGATCCTTGGAATAGATCCCTGACTCACACTGGCTAAAGCAAAAAAGAGGAAATAAGCAAGGTGATGAGGTGTCAGGTGGAGCCCAGGAAAGAAATGAGGCTGGGTCTCAGCCAGGGAAGGATCCAGGGTCTGAAATCCATCTGCTGCTCCCCGACATGTCCATCCACTTCCCTCCTTCCCTCCTTCCCTCCTTCACTGCTCCCAGCAGGCCTGCAGTCCTTCCTGACTTACGGCCAGATTACTGCTCTGGGCACAGAGGTTCCTTAACAGAGATGAAACTCCTCTTTCTTGTGCCCCAAAGCCTGGAGCTGTCAGGAAGGGTGTTAATCCCTGCTGCCCCTGCCTGGCTGCCCTTCCCTCTCCCGGAATCTTTGGAGTCGGCAAAGGCTTCTGGCCAGGCCCAGAAGGAATCTCTGTACTTTTCCTTCCTCTGCTGCCTATTCACCCAGCAGGCTCTAACTCTTATCTGTGAAATTGTACCCAGTTCTTCTACTCCAAAGCAGCCCCTCCTGCTTTTGTGAGTCCTCAGCACTTTGCCAACAATCTAACTATCTTGTGTTTCTTATAATCTCCTCAACCAGTGCAAAGGACAGCCAGCACTGTCATGGAAAAGGGGCTTTAAAAATATGCACCAGGTTGAGCCAGTACAGTGCCTGCCATATCCCCAGGACACCTCACACGCATCTCTGTAAACTTGATGGGAATAGGGGTCACCACAAGGAGCTGGCACACATGTCACTATTTTGATTTAAAAGAATTTTATGCATTTATGTTCATTTTCTTTGAAAGGCAGAGACAGTTTTTCAAGATGGTGGAGTAGGGAGAGCTTGCTGCTCTAGTCTGGGGGAGGATAGTTTTTTAAAAAAGTGGAGAGAGGGCAATCTCAGGGAAGGGTCAGGGAGAAAATGGCAGAGGAAACTCCACACAAATTGGGGGGACACTGTGGACCTACGTGGAGGGTGTGGAAGTGCACAGCTTGGGACCCCAGCAGCGGAGAGCCTCAGCACTAGCTTTGGAGTGAGGTGAGACCAGGCTGCAGCAGCCCAAGCCACTGGGGATAAAGCTGCAGGAAGACCATAGCTTGGGCCTGCCTTAGAGCTGTGTAAGGGACAGTGTACCTGCTGACCTATAGGGAAAAAAAGGGGGACGCATTTCTCTCCTCCTGACCACCTGGCACCGGCATCCTGTAACTAGCCGAGAGAGGGTGAGCACCATTTTGGACATGTGTAACAGCTGCGCCAGCTCACATCAGTACACCCAGCAACGAGCCAAGAGGAGATGCCTGAGTCTGGCTGGGAGAATTCACAGGGGACTGGGTGCTCGTGATTGTGGGAATCTTTTGTGTCAGGACTGTGAAAACACTGTGGATGTGTGGGAGGGTGCAGGGTGTGGCAGGGACTTTGGGCAGTCACTGTGGGCAGTTCCACATGCTCAGGGCTCCCTGATTCCCTGGTGAGGGTCATTGCTGCAGAATCTGTGTTCACACCGAGGACTGCACAGATCCTTTCTGTGGCTCTTGTGGCAGAGCGGATGAAAACTGTACTCACTGGGGCTAGTGCCCAGGCATTGGCCTCCCCTGAGGAGAGGAGGTGAGTGTGAGAATATGCCAACAGAGCAAAATAAACCTCTCTTTTAATTAAAAAAATGAGAAAGAGAGAGATTTACCATGCCCAACTTGGGTGTCACCTTAGGCACCGCCCTCACCCTGGAGCTCAGCCAGCACACATCTCTGGGTATTCACCAAAAAGGCAGACATTCCACTAAGCCACAGAGACATAGCTCAAAGATACAAGCCACTATAGGAGGGGAAAAAGTATCAACACAAATGCCTAACAATAAAAGCAGCAATTCAAGAAACAAGAATAAGGAAGACAACATGATGCCCCCAAAAGAACACAACACTTCAATACTAGAAGTTGAAGATGAGACTGACAAAATGCCAGAAACAGAATTCAAAAAATTGATCATAGTATTACATAGAAGTAATCAGAAGCAAATTCATGAAATAAAGAAATCCATGAATGACATGAATGAAAATTTTTCCCATGAACTTGAGATTTTAAAAAGAAAGCAAAGCAAATTATTGGAAATAAAGAATTCAATGGAACAAATTAAAAATATGGTGCAAAGCCTTAAGAACAGACTCAATGAAGCAGAAGAAAGTATATCTGAGTCAGAAGACAAATCTCTGGAAATTTTACAGTGAGGCCAAAAAAAAGGGGGGGGGTATTACAAAACTGAAAAACAGTGTTGGAGATTTAGGGGATACTATCAAATGACCCAACATATGGGTCTTGGGAGTTCCTGAAGATATGGAAAGAGAGAATGGGTTAGAAGGCCTTTTTAGTGAAATAATTACAGAAAACTTGCATAATTTGGAGAAAGAAAGGGGACATTCAAGTACAGGAAGCACACAGAACTCCTAATAGACATGACCTGAAAAGATCTTCACCACAGCACACTGGGGTCAAACTCTCCACAGTAAAATAGACAAAAAATTATAAAATGTGCATGAGAGAAACACCAGATTACTTTCAGAGGATTTCCAATTAGACTCACAGCTGACTTCTCATCAGAAACTCTATAGGATAAGAGAGAATGGCGAGATTTATTCCAAGTTTTAAGAGAAAAAAAAAACTGTCAAACCAGACTACTGTACCCTGCAAAGCTCTCATTTATGAGTGAAAGTGAAATACTTTCCATAACAAACAGAAATTGAAAGAATTTTTCACCACTCATTCAGCCTTATAAAAGATGTTTAAGGATGTGCAATACACAAAAACACAGAAACATGGTTGCATTACTATGAAAGAAGGTGAAGGCAGAAAATCTCCCAGTAAAAGTACAAAGGAAATCCAAAGTAAACAATATGAATATTTATGGGAAAAATGGCATGGTCAAGTGATTACTTATCAAAAATCACCTTGAATGTAATTGGCCTAAACTCTCCAGTTAAAAGATACAGACTGAATAGATTTTAACACAAAAACTGTTAAAAAAGACTAGGGCACTATGTAATGATTAAGGGATCAATTCAACAGGAAGATGTGACTATTATAACCGTATATGCACCTAATTACAGGTCACCTGGCTACTTAAACAGGG